TACCCATCAATAATAACCTTAAATGTAAATGGATTAAGTGCTCCAATCAAAAGACATAAAATAGCTGAATGGACAAGAAAGCATCACCCATACATTTATGCTCTGCCTGCACTGTGGAGGGTTGGTTGCTGCAGACCAGCTCTGGGCCAGGCAACTAGTGAACTTCTTTGGCATTTACTGGGTTTCAATTATACCTTTTCCAATGGGGTCTAAACTCCTGCCTTGGAAAGGAGCCCTGTTTGGAGTTTGTCCTTCCTTGAGCACCTTTCCTCTGTTCTAGGATATCATATGAAGTTTTCTTATGTTATACAGTTACTCTTTTGTCATAGTTTAATCATTCTTTATGTTAATCTTCCACTGTATAAATCATTGTGTGGTTTCTCTCTCCTGATTGGACCCAGGCTGATACCTGTACATCAGGTAGTTTGATGTACATTAAAAATAGATACAATTTAAAAATTGTAATAATCAAGCTTCTACTTGCTATAGGACTAAATAACATCTATAGTTTCTAAGAATACTTTTCAGAAATAAAATTTTTAATTACATTAATCCATTAATAGTATATATATTTTGAATACAGGAGAATTTGTTATATTTTAAATCTACAAATAGGCTTATTATCAGTATCTATTGATTATTTGCCTAAAAGTAGTAAAAACATAGGATAAAAACTGTAACTCCTGGATTCAGAGGAATTTTAGAAAATAATATGTCCCCATTTTAGCTCCCATAAATACAAAATATTGGTATGGTTTATCACTTCCATTCTACATGTAGATATTAAACCTAAAATTACTATTATTTTTTTCTGTAGCCAGAGAATATTTGACATTAGAGACTTTGTGGTATTTGTAGACTGAACTAAACTTTAGCACCAAATAAATACTTTATATAACTTTATACATGTTTACTCGCAGTACAATTATTCAGCACCACTGCAGACAAACCTCTGAGGGAAATATGAGGATATATTAGTCATATTACAAGGTAAAACATTTCACTTAAATCAAGGAGATGAACACAAACACCTTCTAGGGATAGTGTTATGGAACAGACTGGGGGGCAGGGGCTGAATAATATAAAAGACCCACCTTTTCCTCTGGGGATTCCTCCCCATCTATTGGGTTCATTTAGCCCACCATGTTTTCCACAGTGGTTGTACCAGTCTGAAATCCCACCAATAGTGCACTAGGGTTCCCTTTTCTCCACAACCTCTCCAACACTTGCTGTTTGTTGCTTTTTTTATGATGGGCATTCTGACCAGTGTGAAGTGGTATCTCATTGTGGTTTTAATTTGCATCTCTCTGATAGCTAGCAATACTGAGCATCTTTGCATGTGTCTCTGGGCCCTCTGTATATCCTCTTTGGAGAAGTGTCTCTTCAAGTCCTTTGTCCATTTTTTAATTGTGTTGCTTGTCTTCTTAGCATGGAGTCATGTAAGTTCTTTATATATTTTTATATGGAACCATAAACAACCTTGAATAGCTGCTGCAGTTTTGAAAAAGAGCAAAGTAGAAGGGTTCACAATACCAATATCAAGCTGTATTACAAGTATCAAAAACAGCCTGGTACTGGCATAAAAATAGGCACAAGGACCAATGGAACAGAACAGCGAGCCCAGAAATAAACCCAAGTCTCTACAGTCAATTAATACAGGGTGTGAAGTTTTAACATTCCTCTGGAATCCTCAGTTTCCTTTTTAGAGAAAATTAGCAGAGACATGCTTCTTAGCCTCAGGTTGAAGTACTCATTAGGCCTGAATGACCCTCCCTGGGTCCCAAGTGGCAAAGGCATTCTCCCTAACTGGTTACAGGTGACCTTCTCTAGGTCTTCAGGTGACCTTTACCAGGTCTGACAGGTAACTTTAACTAGGTCTTCAGATACAGTGGGTTTCTGATCAGAAACAGAACCAATGGCAAAGACTTACTCCTTTCAGATTTGGGCTCATTGGTAGAAACATGCTTCTTTGCCTCAGGCTGAAACACTCATCAGCCTTGAATGACCTTTCCTGGGTCCCAAGCGGCAAAGGCATTCTCTCCCCAACTGATTACAGGTGACCTTTACTAGTCTTCAGATACAGAGGTTTCTGATAAGAAACAGAACCAAGTTGAAATCACATTCCCATAAAAACAGAAAATGAGCAGTTGAGGTTTCGTTTTCTCCAGGTTTAAAACTTTTACAACCTTTCTTACATAGTTTTACACATCCAGATTTAAATGTAATTCACTTTTAATCCCTGTTCTTTTCTCACACTGGGAAGGACTGTACTTAAACTCAGTGCTTAAACTCAGTATGTGGCAGTCAAAAGTCTCTAGCACCATAGGTACCTTCTACTAAAAGTCCCTAGATTCACAGGGACATTTTACACCTTTCTGAAGCTTAGACCTTGCAAACACCCCTTAAATCAGATGGTCACCCTTGGACCCCAGCTCATGACCTTCAGAATCAGAGCCCTCCCTACCATAACCAGTTGCACAGAGAACCTGATTGGTGCAGTGCCCACACAGCAGCACCACGTAGCCCAGAATCTGAAGAGAGAAACCTTAGTCTCACCATCTTGCCCATTTCCAAGGTGGCTGAACTCTCAAATAACCCATCATCCAAGATGGCAGTGCCCATGCATGCTGGGTCACCCAAGATGGCAAGGCACATGCATGACCTGTCCTCCATGGTGGGGCACTCACATGGCTCATCCTCCATTTTACCCAAAATAGTGACACACCCACATGGCTTGCTGTCCAATCCCCAACATACATCCAGGGTTGGCTTACAGAGGCTAGGGGTTTGCTTTTCCCCAAACCTGAGTACAGGTTCCCTTAGTGCCACCTGGGCTCACTGAAACTGTAAGTGAGTGAGCAGACAGGGGCAACTGGGAAGCAGCGTACTAACCAAACCATTATCTACAACTCCATTATGCCAAAACAGTGTTCAGAAACAAGTTTTTAACCAAACCATTTTTCTCTGCTCCCTTCCCTGTTTCATTTCCTTTTCACCTTTCCGGGTGTGATTAGGTGGCTGATGCCCTCAGGAGGAGTGCAGAGAAATTCTCAGAGACTGGGAAAATTCTGAAGTCTCACTGTCCTGCACCTGAGGAGGTTGGTCTGCTATGGGCAATTACCATCTTTTCGTGGTTGCCAAAAAAAAAAAAAACCTGTTACAGAAGAAAGCGGTACAGGGGGCTGAATGATATAAAAGACCCACCTTTTTCTCCAGGGGTTCCTCTTCACCTATCTCTTAATACCAGAGATCAGTGAAAAGGAAAGGAACTTATTATTTATTTGAAACAATACAAATGAAGCTCTCCATGAAAATACACAGTCCTCTTGGCACCCTCCACGTGGCAAAAGGGAGCATTCCAAACACTCATAGTCCTGACTCTCATCCAAGCCGCGTGGTCCCAGCCAAGACACCAAAGCTGCATGGTCCTAAACAGAAACGAGTTCCCAAAGAGAGGCCTCAGTTTAAATCCCAGCGCCAACCTTCTTCAGCAGCCTCATTTCTGGCTCCTCCCACAATTGGCCACAGCCGCCAGCTTTCCGGGCAGGTGTGGCCCTGTGGTGTGGAGCCAATCGTCTCCAAGCTCTGCTGGACCCTGTTACAAATCCCTGTTTGGGATTTGTGGCTGCACCCTGTTACAATAGGAGCAGTTATTTCAGAAAAGAATGAAAGTTCTTCTCTATGTTAATAGTGTAAAAGTAATGTGGTGGTAGCAAAGGGCAAAGGGGTGAGTGGAGAAAACAGAATCCAGGAGAATATAGAGGCAGTAATCTTCTCATTGCATGGTAGAAATTTGAGTTGTAAAAGCAAGAAGAAAACCAGATGACCTTTTTCTAGAAAAACTAGATAGCATCCGAGAAGACACTAACATTAATATTTAAAGAAGCCACATCCTGAAAGAAAGAGGACACTTGAAAACCCAGTGACTCAAACCAGGATAACACAGAGTTCCGTTCCACATGCTCTCAGGAGGCTGTCAGCATGACTGAGCTTCTGGGAGCAACAGCAATGACTCTTCAATAATGCTCCTTCTTTAGGCTGTCTTCCCTTCCTTGTCTTACTGACCCACTCAGGCACATAGCTTTATGGAACCACTTCCCAAGGAAATTAGTTACCCACAAATCCTACCTCAGAGAAACCTAAAATAAACATCAACCAAAATGAACTCCTAGTAGTAGGAGCAGGTAATGGCTTCTAAGATCGTGAATAGAAGCCTTCCATTTTAAGCAGGTTTCTCTAACGGTTCAAGCCCCTCTGTGATACCTGCTATTCAGTGAAATGCTGCTATACACCATAGCCTCACTACAGTATGTGCAGAGTAATTAAACAAAAGAAGCTAATATTCCCCATAGAGTTCTGTGTACAAAAGAGAGATGAAACAACCAAGGAATCTGAGATATGAATGAGAGAGAGATATTTCAGGAGAAGCAAAGTTGGAGGAGGTGGTGAGTGGAAGGAACAAAGACTCCAAAATAACCCAAGATATAAAGGTGATTGGTATGGGGTTTCTCCTCACATGTGACATAGGTACTCAAGGATTTTTACATTTCTATTAATTAAAATAAAGACATCAGATGAAAGACTTGGGAATGTACAGGTGGCTGCCACATGGGTTTCACATTCATCAATTTTTCAGAGTTTGTTCTCTGGGGATGAAATAAGTGAGTCAGGCACCATCACAAATGTTTTTTGAGTAAGAGAGATAGAGCCTTAGTGAGTCACAGACCAAGCACATGGGGTTTAGAAAATGAAATAATTCCCTTCAAATAGGAGAGACTCAACAAGGCTTTTGGGGTGTGTTGACATTTAATATAAATACTGAGGGCCTGAATGATTTGCACATGTGGAACTGTGGAGTAAAGGCCATTCAGGGAAAGGTAACTGATGTGAAGCCAAGCCCATATTCAAGATCCATACAATCAAATAAATGTATTAACTTTGTATAATATGTTTGTTTACAGACCTTATTTCATGAAGTCCTAATGATCACAAAGACAAAATTGTGTTTGATAATAAAATTTTAATGGAAAAATGTGCAATTAGTGTCCAGATAAAGCAAAAATATTAGCCACAAGATAATCGATAATTCTATAATCTCAAAGCACTAGCAAAAACATTAGTAACTTAGCCTTTCTAGATATTTATTACAATTAATGTTGGTGCCAATGGGATGGTAGAGTTGCTAGACTAGAGTGATCCACATTGAATTGAAGGCAGCAAGGCACTTTTTTCTCCCTCTTCTGGAAAAAATTACAGTGATGACTTCAGAGTAGATTTTCTCTCCTCTCTCTGTAGTTCCAAGATTTCAATTTCTAAAGACAATTTATACATTTCCAGCGCCATTTTCACATCCTCTGGTCTTGGGAGACACTGCATAAGTTTTCTGCCTGCTAGAACTTGCTCATAGCCAGGAGGGACCCCCTAAAAGAGATACAGCTTGTGAGTGTGGTTTAGAGGCTTCTCCCCAGATCATGAGAATGGCAGGACTACAGGATCAGGTCTCAGACCAACCCCAGGTTTGATGGGTGAGCAGGAAACTAGAACACACCTTGGCCCCACCATAGTCTTCCCTTGAGGAATTTAGACCTGTTCCTAGACAGCTTCCCAGAAGGCCTCTGTGGGACAGAGGTATTTTGGCCAACCATCCAAAAACAAAGCACAGAGTATTGTACAGTCTAGAAAAGAAAAGTTAGGAGTCAGCGCTCCCAGGTCTCTGACAATGTCCTCTCCATAAGGGGCTTGGTGTTTCCTGTCCTCAAGTGAGAGCAGGACAACTTGCCACCCTAACCGACCAGAGCACTTCCAGGGAAAACAAGAGAGCTCTTTTGAATGACTCAGGGATCCATCCTGGCAGGTCAGATCTCGCCTTTGCTGGCTGGGACAGTGCTTTGAGGTGGCACCATTTTTAGGGTTTGATAGCACAGGAACTTTCTTGAATTGTTGCACTTACCCACTCACACTTGGGCACCTCTGGATACCAGGTATGGTTCTCTAAGCAGGTGATATTTTGGTGACCGACCACAGTATAGCCAGAAGCACACTTGATGGTGACATTTTCAGATTCAACAAATTGATCCTTATCCCCAAACACCTTTCCATGCTCTATCTTTGGTTTTGGACACAGAGCTACAATGAAAGCACAGTTAAGTAATCTGTAAATTAAAAAAAAAGACATGATACCAGACTAGGACATTAAAATGAACTATATGTAAGTGCTTCTAATTGTTTTATATTTTCCTATTTTGATAACAATGATATTAGTTCCAATTTTTATTGAGGATTGGCTCATATCAGTCATCTGGGCTAAGCATTTTATGTGATTTTCTCATTTAAGTCTCTCTGCTGTATGAAGTGAGCACTGTTACTATTGCCATTTATCCAGGAGAAAATGAGATACAGAGGGGTTAATAAACTTGTTCAAGACATAACATCTCTAAATAAGTTGACAGGGCATTAAAAAATCACATGACCCAAGATTCTCAGCTGTCAAAGAAACTATTCCTCATCCTGTGATCCACAAAAGACACTAGGGATGAAATCTCCCCTCTTGCCCATTTTCTCCTGTATGCAATGGCAACAATGGTGGTAAATAATTCCTGGAGTTGTTGATGGCAAAGTGATATTAAACCCATGTGCATGTAAAAATTGGACCTGATCTTGACTGTTTCTGCCCTACAACAGGTTGGCAAACTGGAAGTCCCCCACCACACTCCTCCATCATGGGCAGGTGGTGCCCTGTGTCAGGCTTAGATGGAAATAACCGCCACTTCTTGGTATTTGGAATTAGCCCATGAGAATCTGCATTCAGGTCTGAGCAAGTTTCCTTGGATATTTTGCTATAGGCCACAGCCACAGTCAGAGAATTTATAGTCTGTAGACTACTTCCAGAAATACATAAGCAAGTGGGAATCTGGGCTGCCTCCAGGAGAATGAATTTTGTGACTGGGAGAAAGAAGTAGGGGAGATTCATGTTCCTGTGTGCCCCTCAAACTTTTTTGTTTTGGGTACCATTTAAATTTAATAATTATTTAAAATAAATCAAATCAAATCAAATATTTTTGTTCTGCTTCTGGCTAGAAACTTTATTCTCAGTCTCTCCATGACAGTTCCACCCACTTAGCCATGGGCTGGAGTTACCTTTACATTGAGGGGCCGGACCTGACCAGCGAGAATGACTGCAGGAGAGTGTGGCCACTCCAACCAGAGTGTATCCTTCGTCACATTCATATTTAACCTCCTTAGGTTGGAATAGGTATGAAGACTTTTCTATATAACGTCCATGGGCAATAAGAGGAGGATAAGAGCAACCTTAATGGTAAGACAAAAAAATGAGAGAGCTTGAGTTTATAGAATATAAAACACAACACATCGCAGAATCTGTGTGGTTTGTAGGAGCCTTTGTCCTGTCCTGTCATTTTCTCTACTCATAGGATCACTTAGCCAAAGCCAAGTGCCTGTGCTGCCCTCCTGCAAGCCTCAGAATGAAGAACTGTGGAAAGCCTTGACTAGAATTTCAAGCACGTAGAGTTTGCTTCATTTAATTATCAAGTTCATCAACCTTTACACTGTTTAAGAACCATTTTGGCACAAAAGCTGGATTCAGCCCAAAATCATATTGTACTGATGCTACAGTCCATGCAATTCAGGCTAATTGCAGAGATGTACACCTGTGAGAAACTGTTTAAGATGCTAAATATATGCACAATATCTGATTCATTGTGTCCAATCAAAACTGTTCATCCATCCCCACAAAAAAATACTTACTGCATTGTAAAATATTTTATTAAAGATCTCATAGAATGATTTAAAATGATTAGTTGCATATTTAAATAATAGACAAAACATGTATAAAAGATCCATGGACAAGGACAATGGGGTGGAGGATTGAATGTGGGGAGGTTGGCCAGGCAAGGGGGAGTAATGGTGGAAAAATGTGGTACAACTGTAATTGAATAAGACTGAAAATATTTTAATAAGATAAACAAATAAATAATAATAGACACAACATGGTGTGCAGTACCATGAAAAGTTCTCTGAAAAGAAACATTGTCAGCATCCTCAAACACTGCATGAGAAATTTAAATAAAGCAGGTCATTAGGAATGTCAGATGAAATTATGCTGATGGACTACAACAGCTATAAGTTCTATCCTAAGATGCCTCCTTGAAGCATGGAAAACATAATGCTGCACAGTGAGTTTGAAATTCTGGATTTGCCATGGCAGGAGCCAGAAGTAGGATTTAAATAACTCAGGGAAGTGAGCATCCTGAAGTGGATATACTGTATAAGCTCAAAAATATCACCAGATGATTCTGTTACATGGAAAGGCCTGAATAATACATGTACATACCAAGGACATAAGGAATTCCCCAAAACATTACTATCAAAAGCAAGAGCTGAAAATAGGAAGGCCATTAAAGAACAAGTTTCACTGTTACTGACAGCAGTCAGAGAAGTGCTCATTTGCTTTAGAAGTAAACATAATCATCATCATGTGTGACCAGGTAGAGAGATGACCTAAGCAGCCAACAAAGATACTATTCAATTTGTACCATCAATAGAAATTAAGGATGGATAATCAGGAGACTGATGGCCTTTGGTTTAATAACAAATTACAATCCCTTGCTCAGTTTCTGGACCTGTGCCAGTTGCCAGGTCTGGAGATCATTGACTAAAGAAAAAAAAAGACAGCTCCCAGAAGTAAAGATTCTACAACATCTCAGTAAGTATGCATAGTAATGAGTTCCCCAGGCTTCCAAGAGGACCTATGTCTTTTACTTAGATACTGTGCACTGGTGAAAGATACACAATAAACTGAGGATTACTGAGCATAGAACTCTGGTTGACATTGATACCTATCACCAACATAGTTTCCCTATTAGACCAATTGGTGGTCATTTCCATTGTTTTTGAAAGTATAGTCAGAATCAACAAAATTGGTCATTAGCACAACTCCCATATTGGGCCTTTGGCCTACAGGGTATGAACTATCATACCTCAGAAGGCCAAGTAGAAGCCATACATGTGACCAACACTTTTCCTCCTTAAGGCAAAGAAGATAATTTTTTAAAATATCATGTACCAAGAGGGAGGGAGTAAATTAGTATATTCATAAAGAACTAAAGATGCAAAAGTGGTCATTCCCATTTTCCTCATCTGTCTACTACAAAAATCAGAATTCTAGACAATTACAGTGGACTATTGGAAATTCAACATTTAGTCCCCATTGCAACCACTTTTCTAGATGTGGTATCTTTACAAAAGCAGATTAATATGTCTTCAGATAAATGAGGCCACTGATTTAGAAAAGGCATTCTTTTTCATCCCTATCAAAAAAGAAGATCAGAGACAGTTTGAATACACATGAAATGGTCAAAATTATATATTTTCACTTTTAACCCTACTAAGTCCCTCTCATGATAGAGTTCGAAGCTTTCAGGAGCATCTGGACATCCACAGAATATCATATTGATCCAGTCCACCAATGGCATCATGTGAATTCTATCTAATAAGCCAGAAGTAGGTGGTATGGTGATGCTCTGGAGTACAGAAGGGAAGGGGAGGGAAGGGAAGGGAAGGAAGGAAGGAAAGGAGGAAGGAAGGAAGGAAGGAAGGAAGGAAGGAAGGAAGGAAGGAAGGAAGGAAGGAAGGAAGGAAGGAGGAAAGGAAGGAAAAGCAGATTCAAATGGATTTTGGCAAGTCTTGTTTTTCAGGTTAAGACATATAGGAAGGAAAGAGAAGAGAATAAATATCAAGAAACATAACATAATAATTTAAAAGGCTCACCAATTTATTACATGTGGTTTATTTTCACTGATTCAAGAAACTGCAAATAAACAATGTTGGGAAAAGGAGAAATTTGAACTGGAGTGCTTTTGAATATGTTTATTCATTCCAAGAATCATACAGAGTATCCAAGTTCTTTCACCTAATTTGAAGCCTTTCCTTAATAATCTCCACTACTTTGTTATGAAGAAACTCCTAAAATAACATAATTCCATAAGCTCTTACTCTCTTCACATACTGGTGTTTCAGGACTCCAAGTGCCATCTGCTTGGCAGGAAGCTTCAACACTTCGTCTCCTACCACATGAATATGAAAGCGAGTCTCCATAGAAATATTCACAGTTACTGGCCAAGCTACTTTTTCTCTGGCTAGTGATTCTGCCATTCCTTAGGTTTGGTACTGGGCAACATACATCTAAAAAAAACCAAAACATGAGACATAGTTAGTAAAATCATACTGAGGGGATGCCTATGGCTAACAATCTCATTTCCACCTTCACAAGAGCTCACCACAGAAGAGAGGTTGGGGAAACATACTAGCGTAGAAGAGACATTTTGAGTACTCACTCTTTGTCCCCAATTTGCTAAAGCAGTCCAAACCAGTCATATTCCTCCAGGTAAATAATTTCATAGGCATCTCCAAAATGAGAAGTTGGATTAAGCCTTCCAACTTGTCATTTTCAAAAATGTTTCAAAAGCAATGGCAATGTTTACCATCTCTTGGTTTCATTAGGGCTGAAACCACACAATGATAGTTTCAGAATTGTATATTTCTAGAAATAAAAATTTAAAAACATTTATCAACCTATGGTTGTTTGGAAGACCCTCTCCTTGCCTTTCTCATGGATTCTTTAAACTTTTATCACTATCTTGTAGCAACCCTTCTTCCATAGGCCAAACTATTTAACCAAATATGCCACCCACATTCCAATAGTTATATCCCATATCTTACCTAGAATAACACTCTTTTTCTCTGCTAGCTATTCAAGTCCCATTTGCTCTGTGAATGCATACTTGTCTTAGCACCCCAGCAAATACTTATTGTTGATTTCTCAGCTTCTATAGCAGTTAGTAAGAAGATGTTATATGTTCTATATAATTGTTTATTAAAATTTAGCATAATCTAGACTTCCACCAAGATGGAGGCGTAGGTGGAAGCTTCTCACACAACCAAGTTTAAAAACAACAAAGTTTTAGCAACAAAAACACAGCCAAACCACAGAAAATTGAACTACATGGAAGTCTGACAACAACGAACCCTTCAGCCAAACCGGTAAGAGGGGCGGAGACAGCGGCAGAGCTGGGTCAGGCAGGAAAGATCCACCAGACCAACCTGGGCACAGATCCCAGGTGTGGAGAAGCGGGCGGACCCACTGAGGGCGGACCATGGTCACACACTGGCACGCAGATAAACCGGTGGAGGAGCTATCAGTGGTGAGATGGACCTCGCAGGCCCCAGTGGCAGGAAGTGGCTGAGGGAACTGCCATTGTACCTCTCTGACCCTGTCCCCACATGCAGCATCAAAAACTAGAGACTGGGTAGCCCCACCCTGGTGAACAACTAAGGCTCTGCTCCTCATACCTAACAGGCACAAACACATCAAAACACGGCTCAAGAACAACTCAGAGCCCCAGAGCCAATAAATCTAAGCAATGAAGAAATAGCCAAACTTTCAGATGCACAGTTCAAAACACTGGTGATCAGGATGCTCACAGAGCTGGTTGATTTTAGTCACAAATTAGAGGAACAAATGAAGGCTAAACTAATTGAAAAAAATGGAAATGGACAGGAAACCAATAGTAATAAAAAGGAAACTGGGACTCAAATCAAAGGAGTGGACCAGAAAGAGGAAAAAAATGACCAAACAGAAAAGAATGTAGAAAAAGAATTAAAAAAAACGAGGAGAGGCTTAGGAACCACCAGGACATTTTTAAACATTCCAACATCCGAATTATAGGGTTACCAGAAGGGGAAGAGGAACAGCCATGAGTGGAAAACTTATTTGAACAAATAATAAAGGAGAACTTCCCCAATTTGGCAAAGGAAATAGACTTCCAGGAAATCCAGGAAGCTCAGAGAGTCCCAAAGAAGTTAGACTCAAGAAGGAACACACCAAGGCACATCATAATTATATTAGCCAAGATTAAAATGAAGGAGAGAATTCTAGAAGCAGCAAGAGATAAGGGGACAGTCACCTACAAAGGAGTTCCCATCAGACTGTCAGTGGATTTCTCAAAAGACACCTTACAGGCAAGAAGGGGATGGAAAGAAGTATTCCAAGTCATGAAATCCAAGGACCTACATCCAACATTGCTCTATCCAGCAAAGCTTTCATTTAGAATGGAAGGGCAGATAAAGTGCTTCTCAGATAAGATCAAATTCAAGTTCATCATCACCAAGCCCTTATTATATGAATGTTAAAGGGACTTACCTAAGAAAAAGAAGATAAAAAAGATGAACAGTGAAAGGACAGCAAACTCACAGTTATTAAGAACCACACCTAAAACAAAAGCAAACTACAAGGACAGCTAAATCAGGAGTGGAACCATAGAAATGAAGATCACATGGAGGGTTAGCAACAGGAGAGTGGGAGAAGGAGAAGGGGGGAGAAGGTACAGAAAATAAGTAGCATAGATGGTAGGTAGAAAATAGATAGGGGGAGGGCAAGAATAGTAGGGGAAACATAGAATCTAAAGAACTTGAGACACGTGGTCATAAACTAAAGGGGGGAGTGGAAGGGGAGGGGTGTACAGGGTGGAGGGGAATGAAGGGGGAAATAGAACAACTGTAATGGCATAATAAATAAAATATATTTTTTAAAAATTTACCATAATCTAATAAAAAAACTCCCATCACACAAAAGCCCCGGACCAGATGGGTTCACAGGAGAATTCTACAAAGCATTTAAAGAAGAGCTAACCCCCATTCTTCACAGACTATTCCAAAAAATCCAAAAGGATGGAAAACTCCCAAACTCCTTTTATGAAGCCAGCATCATCCTAATCCCAAAACCAGATAGAGATACAACAAAGAAAGAAAACTTCAGGCCAATATCACTGATGAACATAGATGCTAAAATCCTCAACAAAATATTGGCAAATCGCATCCAACAATATATCCAAAAGATTATACACCATGACCAAGTGGGATTCATCCCAGGGATGCAAGGATGGTTCAACATTCGCAAATCAGTAAATGTAATTCATCACATAAACAAAAGCAAAGACAAAAACCACATGATCATATCAATAGACGCGGAAAAAGCTTTTGATAAGGTCCAGCACCCATTTATGATAAAAACACTCAGCAAAGTGGGAATAGAGGGAGCATTCCTCAATATAATAAAGGCCATATATGAGAGACCTACAGCCAATATCATACTCAATGGGAAAAAACTAAAATCTTTTCCACTAAGATCAGGAACAAGACAAGGATGTCCACTTTCACCACTTCTATTCAATATAGTATTAGAAGTTTTGGCCACAGCAATCAGGCAGGAAAAGGAAATAAAAGGCATCCAAATAGGAAAGGAGGAAACAAAACTGTCACTGTTTGCAGATGACATGATACTGTACATGGAAAATCCTATAGACTCTACCCAAAAACTGCTCGAACTAATTAATGAATTTGGCAAAACAGCAGGATACTGCTGCTGCTTTGATCCAGAAATCAAAGGCATTTTTGTATACAAACAATGAATCAGCAGAAGCAGAAATCAAGGAAAAAATCCCATTCGATATAGCAAAAAGAAAAATAAAATATCTGGGAATAAACCTAACCAAAGAGGTAAAAGACCTGTATGCAGAAAACTGCACAGCACTGAAGAAAGAAATCAGGGAAGACACAAACAAATGGAAACATATACCGTGTTCATGGATTGGAAGAATTAACATCATCAAAATGTCCATACTACCCAAAGCAATATACAGATTTAATGCAATACCTATTAAAATACCAATGGCATATTTCACAGACATAGAACAAACACTTCAAAAATTTATATGGAGCCATAAACGAGCCCGAATAGCAACTGCTCTTTTGAGAAAGAAGAACAAAGTAGGAGGGATCACAATACCTGATATCAAACTGTATTACAAAGCCACTGTAATCAAAACAGCCTGGTACTGGCATAAAAACAGGCACATAGACCAATGGAACAGAACAGAGAGCCCAGAAATCAACCCAACTCTCTACAGTCAATTAATATTTGACAAAGGGGGCAGTAACATCAAATGGAGTAAAGATAGCCTCTTCAACAAATGGTGTTGGGAGAACTGGACAGCTACGTGCAAAAAAATGAAACTTGAGCACAGACTTACACCATACACCAAAATAAATTCAAGGTGGATAAAAGACTTAAATATAAGCTGTGACACCATTAAAGTCTTACAGGAGAACATCGGCAAGAAAATCTCAGATATTCCACGTAGCAACATTTTTACTGATATGTCCCCTAGAGCAAGGGATATGCAGGAAAGAATAAACAAATGGGATCTCATCAAAATAAGAAGCTTCTGCATGACCAAAGAAAACAGTATTAAATTAGCAAGACAACCAACTGTATGGGAAAACATATTTGCCAATGATACCTCAGACAAAGGTTTAGTCTCCAAAATATACAAAGAACTTACAAGACTCCACTCTAGGAAGACATCGAACCCCATTAAAAAATGGGAAAAGGACTTGAACAGACACTTCTCTAAAGAGGACATACAGAATATCCAGAGACACATGAAGAGGTGCTCAATATCGTTAGCTATCAGAGAGATGCAAATTAAACCCACAATGAGATACCACTTTACACCAGTCAGGATGGCTATCATAAACAAAGCAATAAACAACAAATGTTGGAGAGGGTGTGGGGAAAAGGGGTCCTTAGTTCACTGTTGGTGGGATTGCAGACTGGTACAACCATTATGGAGAACAGTATGGAATTTTCTCAGAAAAGTAAAAAATCGACCTGCCTTTTGACCCAGCAATTCCACTGCTAGGATTATATCCCAAGAATCCTAAAACATCAATTTCAAAGAACCTATGCACCACAATGTTCATAGCAGCACAATTTACAATAGCCAAGAGTTGGAAGCAACCTAGGTGCCCATCAGTAAATGAATGGATCCAAAAATTGTGGTACATATACACAATGGAATTCTATGCAGCAGAGAGAAAGAAGGAGCTACTACCCTTTGCAACAACATGGATGGAACTGGAAAGCATTATGCTGAGTGAAATAGGCCAGGTGTTGAAGGACAAATACCATATGATCTCACCTTTAACAGGAAGCTAAATAACAAAATAAACAAGCAAATAGAATAAAAACAAAGACACTAAAATAGAGAACAAGTGGGCAGCGACCAGAGGGGAGAGGGAAGGGAATTTAAGGGGAAAAATGAGGAGGGATTTTGAAGAACAAG